TTCCAAAGTATATCCTGGTCCATTTGTATACTCGTCTCAGGCGAGATAACATCTTAAGGACCGCTAAACTCAAAAGAAAATTACTGCTGGGCGATTCACCTTGTTCTGCCCGATCTTTTAATGCTAAACAGAAAAAAATATGTATGGACCATATGTAAAATACATATGCGGGAAAGTGATAGGGGTAGGATGACGGTACTCTGTTTGCTGGATTATTCCAAGGCATTTGACACAGTTGATCATGAAACACTCTCAGCAATACTAGGTTATATTGGTTTTGAATATAATGCAAAAAAGTTGTTAAATGATTTTCTGACAGGTAGAGAACAGGCAGTATCGGTAGGGGTTGATTGCTCTGATTTTCTGGAAGTGAGATCGGGGGTGCCGCAGGGATCGACTCTTTCGCCTATTTTGTATGCATTATACACATCAAATTTTATCAAATCCATTTCACATTGTAAGGCGCACTTTTACGCAGACGACACCCAGCTGTACTATTCCTTCCCTCCGTCTGAGGTGGTTAAAGCGGGTATAGATATAAATAGTGATTTGCAAGCTTTATGTGATATTTCCGACCGCCATGGGCTTCATATAAATCAGAGTAAGTCTCTTGCCATTGTTTTCGGTCCAAAGAGCCTCAGACAGCAAGTTGCAGACACCCTCCATCTATTTGTGAACAATGAACCGTTACAATTCCATAAAACAGTACGAAACTTGGGTGTCTTAATAGACGAGAATTTGACTTTTAATGATCACATCAACAAATGCATACAAAGGGCGTATGGGAGTTTGAAGGTTATCTACTCGAACAGACATTATTTGAACCATAAAACAAGGAAATATCTCTGTGAAAGTCTGGTCCTCTCACTTTTTAACTATGCAGATGTTCTGTACTCTCCTTTTTTGTCCTATGTCTTAAAAGAAAAAATTCAAAAAACACAAAATTCCTGTATACGTTTACTGTTTGGTCTTCACCGAAGTGAACATGTAAGTGATAAGTTGCCGGAATTAAAATGGTTAAACATGCAGGGAAGGAGGGTGCTGCACTCTGTATGCCTCTACCACCGGGTCCTCCATCTTTATAAGCCACCTTACCTCTATAACAAAATAAGTTTTCGCGGGGATGTACACACTGTAAATATTAGATTTAAAGGGAGATTATCTCCACCTATTTTTCATAAAGCTTTTTTCAAAAAGTCATTTTCCTATCAGATCGCTAAGACAATGAATGAACTTCCTCTTGAGTGGACAGTGTGTGCATCATCAATAACTTTTAAAAGACACGTGCTAAATTATTTGCATGGATGGCAGTGACCTTCACGTTTGTAAAAATGGCTTTACATCTGCATAATGTTTTTTTTTTGTTGTATGTTACAGTTAATGCGCATTCTATTAATGTTTAAATTCTCTATGGTATGGTGGAAGAACAACATGAGTTGAACCATGCCATAAGATTGTTCTCATGTATGAATCTTTTATGTTTTTTATTGGCAATTATTTAATTTTATTTACTGTTTATTTTTTGTTTTTTCTTCAATGATTTATTACAATGTTTTTTTTTTGGTATGCTAGGAGAACAATAAAGCAGTTTATTATTATTATTATATGTATACATATTAGTATGTTGGTTAACTTTGGGTGTTATTATATACTATCTCAGAAACTATAAGAGATACGAAAAAAGTAGGTGCGATGTCCCGGTCTCTTTTTTCGAGACTAACCCAATCCCGCAAACACCAACCCTCTATCATCTTTTGTTTTTAAGTTATAGCCAAAAAGTCAAATTTTCGTGATTTCAAAAAATGCTCATATTTCGTTTATTTTTGAAATTAGAGAAATGGGGTTGAAACGTTCTTAAGACACTTTTTTAAGTAGAATATACTGCCGTTGAAAAATTTAAAAAATATTTGATGATTTTTGAGATACAACATAAAGTTGGGTTTTTTTAAATACAAACTATACTTGATTATGATGTTAATGAAAAGAGCATATTTTTAGCTTGATGATGTATCGCATGTATGATGTATTTGCGGAAAATAAGCTTTAATTTTCAATTCCAAAATAGTAAGCGCTAGTAAGTTCAAAATTTTGATTATAGTAGGCGGGTTCGGGCAGTAATTACTACCTAATTGCTATATGGTTTTGTACGAATATGACAGAAAGTTGGTCTTGTACCATTATGCAGGATAAAGTTGGTTTTGTACCAACGAATAAAAACTTTGAATAGTTGATTTAAATTTCTCAGTGTCTTATCCCTGACTTTGTTTACCAATAAAAAATGATTTGTAGATAAAGTTTGTTTATTAAAAATACAAAAAACATACTAATAAGGAATAATTACATATAACCAACAACTTCAGGAACTAAACAGTCACAGACTGTGTCATCTTCTTCTACTAAACTTACTGGTTGTAAGGTTAGAACAGTTGGGTATCAATCAATGAAATCTTCGGTAGTATCTTCCTAGTTTTCCCCAACCATGAGATTTAGAAGTTTTTTCATATTAGGAACCTTTTCTTTTGAAATTGGGTGAGATAAAGGAAGATTAGGAATCATAAACTGGGCAGCGGACTTTCCATTAAAAGGATGTTTATATGGGATATGGAGTCTTATCTATCATTTTCAAAGAATCATTTTTTAATTTTATCGTTTTATGTATTTAAAGATAATGAGGAATTTTTAAGCGGGAAACTCGTTTCGATAAATTCATGAATGAAATGATCAGTAAACTCACGTTACTATAGTAACAGTAACTAAGTAGCGTTTAACGTTTTCCTCGCCTACTATAATTAAAATTCTGATTATTAATCTTTAATATTTTAGAATTAAAAAATAACGCTTATTTTTCCCAAATACATCATGCGTGCAATACATCATTGGAAAGCTAAAAATATGCTCTCTTCAGTAACACCATAATCTACTATAGTTTGTGTTTAAAAAAATACAACTTTGTGTTGTATCTCAAAAATCATCAAATATTTTTAAAATTTTTCAACGGCAGTATATTCTACTTAAAAAAGTGTCTTAAGAACGTATCAACCCCATTTCTCTCACCCCATTTCTTCTTCAAAAATAAACGAAATATGAGCTATTTTGAAATTACGACAATTTGACTTTTTGGCTATAACTTAAAAACAAAAGAAGATAGAGGTTTGGGGGATTGGGTTAGACTGGGAAAAAGAGACCTACTACCATTGGCACCTACTTTTTCGTATCTCTTATAGTTTTTGAGATAGCCATAATAACACCCAAATTTGCGCCCCCTGTACTTACATGATATCTTCTAAGCTGTCTAAGGCCCACTTTTACCACCTCTTGATAAATTTAACCGATAGATAATTACCATGGTTACAGCGGTTTTAAGCGCTCTCATTGGCTAAGGCCCACTTTTACCACCTCTTGATAAATTTAACCGATAGATAATTACCATGGTTACAGCGGTTTTAAGCGCTCTCATTGGCTAAGAGCTGGATTTATCTATCGGATAAATTTATCAGGAGGATGGTAAAAGTGGGCCTTAGTTAAATACCTTTTTTCATAACTTAATAAGTTATTAATTGAGATCGTATGGGGTTGTACCATTTATGTAATATCAATAGGAAATTAGTAGAACCCTCGGTAATATTTAGAGCTGAAAAACTAAAAGTTTGATCAAACCGAGGACGGTTGTGACCGAGGCGCTGCAATATATTGTCCAGTTTCTTTTCTCAAAGTTTAGCTGAAGTCACTTTTACAGTTTTTCACAGTTTAGATCACTTTTAGGTTGATAAAATATTAATTTATCACCCAGTTTCATTGTTAAAAAACACGTTATAATATCGCAAGTGAGAACGTAGTAGTAACTGTTAGTTACTCACGTCAATAACAAAGTTGAAATGCAAAAATTTACCGTTAACATTTTATAAACCCAAGATTTCAATTTTTCTAGTTTGTGTTATTCCAATTCGTGAAATACATCGTTAAAATTAACAAAGTTGGTGTGACATATTTTAGGGGGAAATACAAAACTGAATCTAGGTTATCTAATTCCTAACCCAATTTAATAATCTAATCTAATATTAATATGGGAAATCTGAGAAATAGTCATAAAACTTACTTTTTTTTAGACTGCAAATAAAAGGAGTTCTCAAAGAAGAATATCTTTAATTAATAAATTTACTAATCTTATAGATTAGTTGAATGCTATAAGATGATTCTTATTGATGTGATGTAAAATTTTCTTTTCATTACTTTCGTGGTTAAAATTTAAAGTTGAAACCCAAATTTGTTATTATTTTAAGAGATATCTAAATCTATTTCTGTGTTTTTTTGTAAATACCGAACTGAAAAGATTTATGTTATTAAACATATATGTTGTTGTATTTTAGGAAAAGAGTTAATGTATGAAAGTAACTTTCCAAGTTTCCAATCAGATGTATAAAATGATATAAACATCCTCAACATAGTTTTAAAGTTTGGATAAGAATAAATTTATGTAAAGCACGACTTCCTGTATATGTAGAGTGGATCAAAACTTCAAAAACACAAAAACTTAACATCGAAAATTTTTTGGATTAATAATTGCGTTTTTAAATTATCTTATTTAATCATACACGGAGATATCACGCCACAATAAATTTACGAAAATATCTATCAGATTAATAAATTATGTGTATGGCTATTCGACTTTAAATGACCATCAAATTGTCAAGTGAAGTGTTGTTTATTGCTTGCAATTTGATAATAAAAACATGGAAAAAAAATCAATTTTAAAACCAAAGCGGATGTTTGTGTTTATTTTTATTAGAAATATCACAGCGTTTATATCTTTTTTTTTTAAAGATTAATTGTTGCCATTTTGTGTATCAACAAGTAATTCTTTAGCTGCGACGATTAATTCTAAAACATTAATGCCAAACGCAAAATTATTTTTACGAAGCGATATAATTATGCAAAAAAATTAAAATAGGTGCTGATATTTAACATAAATATTACAAAAAAAAAACTTAAATTAATAATAATAAAACATTTGTTACAATACAAATACGATTAGTTTTATAATAATTATAAAATACTATATATTATAAATATTTACAAACGCTATCTACATGACTAAGCGCGAACTGAGGTGTCTTAAACTACAAAAAAAATCTTTTTACACAGAAACTTTATAATTTTCACTTTTGGCTAGAACCTCTCCTCATCCGCCTGAACATTGCAAAGCCCGCGTACAATCCAAAATTGATACCCTTTACATTTTCGCTGCTCTAAAAAACATAGTACCTTAAACAAACAGTTTTCGTTTTTGTGGGTATCACTTACATGTTTACTTCTAGGCGTTTCCGGTTGACCGTACCGGCAAAAATACGCAAAATGCTCAGTGTTGTGCCACTTCATTTTCGTCTTTTCAGCGCTGGTTATTTGTTTTTTAATCACATCCTCGGAATGAGGCGTTTCGGATTTATCTGAAAAGTTGTTTATTTTTAATAGAGTTCCTTCCGGCCAAAACTCTTCAACAGTGAAATGATGCATTTTTAACGTTCCCCGATGTTCTCTAAGGGAGTAGATGTGAATGTGTTCTGGTTGCTTGCTTTTTTCTGAAAAGAAAATAAAGGTTTATAAATTAATTTGAAATTAAGAGTGTGTATGTAGATCTAATTTCTTTTTTAAACTTTGTTGACAAACAAGCTTGGTTAAAGTTAAGTTAGATATGCACTTTCTCTTCAAGTTAAGCCGAGGTCGCTTGCGACTGAGGCAGTATAATTGATACAATATTATACAGCCTCGGCTGCAAGCAACCTGGGCTGATTCAAACACTTTCCCTTCAAGTCAAGCCGAGATCGCTTGCGCCCGAGGCAGTATAATTGATACAATATTATAGAGTCTCGGCTGAAAGTGATCTCGGCTGATTCAAGCACAATCATGCACTTTCCCTTTAAGTCAAGCCGAGGTCGCTTGCGGCCGAGGCAGTATAATTGATGAAATATTATACAGCCTCGGTTGATTCAAACACAATCATGCACTTTCCTTTCAAGTCAAACCGAGGTCGCTTGCGGCCGAGGCAGTATAATTGATACAATATTATACAGCCTCGGCTGCAAGCAACCTGGGCTGATTCAAACACTTTCCCTTCAAGTCAAGCCGAGGTCGTTTGCGGCCGAGGCAGTATAATTGATACAATATTATAGAGCCTCGGCTGAAAGTGATCTCGGCTGATTCAAGCACAATCATGCACTTTCCCTTTAAGTCAAGCCGAGGTCGCTTGCGGCCGAGGCAGTACAATTGATAAAATATTATACAACCTCGGCTGATTCAAACACAATCCTGCACTTTCCCTTTAAGTCAAACCGAGGTCGCTTGCGGCCGAGGCAGTATAATTAATACAATACTATACAGCCGTGGCTGCAAACGATTTTTCCATGGTCAGTCGCAATCATACATTTTTCACTTTAAACCAAGGGGCGCCCTAAACCAAACAACCTGGGCTGATTCAAACACAATCATGCACTTTCCCTTCAAGTCAACCCGAGGTCGCTTGCGGCTGAGGCAGTGTAATTGATACAATATTATAGAGCGTCGGCTGAAAATGATCTCGGCTGATTCAAGCACAATCATGCACTCTCCCTTCTAGTCAAGCCGAGGTCGCTTGCGGCCGAGGCAGTATAATTGATAAAATATTATACAGCCTCCGCTGATTCAAACACAACCATGCACTTTCCCTTCAAGTCAAGCCGAGGTCGCTTGCGTCCGAGGCAGTATAATTGATACAATATTATACAACCGTGGCTGCAAACGCTTTTTCCTTGGTCAGGCACAATTATACATTTTTCCCTCTAAACCAAGGGGCGCCCTAAACCAAGCAACATGGGCTAATTCAAACGCAATCATGCACTTTCTCTTCAAGTCAAGCCGAGGGAGTATAGTTGATACAATATTATACAGCACTATAATTAGCATTTTTCCTTTAAGTTAAGCTAAGATCAATAAGCTAAATTAGACCAAACAGTCAAAGTTTCACTACTCTAATTTTACTGAGATCAGTTACAGTCGAGGCAATGATATATGCCGATCAATTATAGATTTACTTTATAATTTATATAACATCAGCCATTCTTTCTTCTAAAAAACAAATTAAGATTTTTAAATTAATTTGAAATTAATGGAGTGTGCGTAGATTTAATTTCTCTTTAAACCTTGTTATATAAACGCCCCAATCAACTTTCACATCGTCTGTAGAAGTTATTTAACATCAACTTGTAATTAGATCGTTTTTGTCATTTATTATATTACGTGTTATTAATATGAGATAATGCTTTATTAAGTTAATGTAATATCCTTGTATAATCAATTTTTTAAGCACACAATTTCTATTTTAGGCTCAGTACATATGCCCGGTATTTTGTATACTAAAGATAATGATTATAGCTATCAAATAAATCGCAAAATGTCATCGTAATGGATTAATTAATAATTCATGGTAAATTACTCGTTAAATTATCAATTTGTAGTTAACTAAATCGTGGTATCGATTCTAATAATCATTAAATTTCAACAATTTTATATCGTAATCAAGTCAAGCCCCCAATGGTCTACGTGATATAAACCTCGTCTCGGACATAAATAAATAACAACATGTTGCTTAATGTTACTGACCATCGACCGCATTTTTCACCTTACAACGTTACTACATTGCACATACTACGAATGGTAATTAACGAGGCAATAAAATTTACGATACAACTCGACGATTCGATTATTCATCAATCGAAAGTGTTTCAAATCTGGCAATTATTAAAATTATTAGTACGCATAAGAAACGAATAAGTAAATGTGAGTAAATGCAAACGCAAAGTAGTGAACAAGGCCAGCCTTGACATCTTTGAATAGCTATAAATAGAAATGTATTTTTTCGTTTAAACGCCGACCTGCGTTGTTATACAGTAATTAAAACCGTTCTGATTTTAATTCTGTTTGTAGGTGAAAACTTTTGTAGAGAATTTTTTAAAATATGTTAAATTAGCGTCAACAAGATATTTAAATAATCAATAAGAAGAACCTCCTTGACATTTTGAGTTCATTTTAAAGGCCAATCTCTTATTTGATCAACTCATTAGAAATAATAAAATATTAATTATTCAATAGAAGTTAAAATTGAGTTGGGGATAATTAATAAATTACATTTATTTGTAGGTAACAGGTGCCTCTTGTTTGATGTAGATACAAATCTTGTAGATAACTCCCCTTGAAAATATAACAATTTTAAGTACCATTTATCAAATAATTGAAAGATAAATTTTTTGAACCTAAATCGAAATTCGTTTTTGTTTTACCATAAATTAAGAAAATCCTCATAAATCTAGTTTATCGTAAACAACTCGTTGTCGCCAAGTTGTCAGATAACGTCGCTTTACCCAATATTAGTTCAAAATATTTATTGAACCGTCTTTCATCACCCATTAAAAAATTACGTACTTGAAAACCGAAAAAGGTAAATTATTTATATAATACTATGAACATCTAAAAACTTCTTGAAAAAGAACAGACGATGTTAAAAAAATCATATAACACCACCCGATTTTTTTTTGAAAGTTATTTAGTTCACAATGCGGCAAAATAAACAACATAACGTATTATCACCCACCGAAAAATTTAACGACCGTCCGCCCCTTTGATTATTATTCAAGCAGGTTTTGTTGATACGAAAGGAACCATAATTACGACATATGCCAAGTAGGTAAAATATACACCGCTTTGTGATGCTACTTCTTTACAGTTTCTCGTTCCTAACACCCAACATATTTACATTGAATTTGAAGAAGCTGTAGAATGTTATATTCTTTACACCACAACAAAAAAAAGGATCGGAATTTTTAATGGTTAAGCAAAAAGTTGTTTGAAATATCCTCACGAAGTGAATTAATGTTTATTTAATTAATGTCTTAAAAGGAAGCAGACAGGATATCCTTAGAAAACTGAATAGTACTCAAATTAAATGGAAAAATGATTCATAATCTTTACGATAAGTTGAGAATGTTAATAATTAAATTTTAAAGCGAAAAGTTTTACGTGGTAGTAAAATTATTACTTGGTGCTAAAATCAGCGTGTTTGTCACGCTTACACGGTTGTTTTGACGATCTATTTTGACCGCTAAATGTGCTAATTACACTCTGGGTATTTTCACTTGCTTTATAAAGGTCTACTTATTACTCAAAAATAAATAAATAAATCAGTCTATAACTCAAGAAGCTGAATTATCAAGTTATGGCTTACATTTTTTGTTGAATGTTATTTTTTTTAGATTTTTGGACTTCAAACTTGTGTGTAAATGCAGTAAAATTTTTAATGCCATAAATAAAACGAAAAAAAGAGTTTTTGACACTTTGGATCTTTGAGATAAGAGGAATTGAGGAGATGGTCACCATAATTAACGAGTCAAAATGATTCTCAACGAAATTATGCGACTTAAGACTTGAAAGAGTTCAGTGCGTCTCTTAAGACAGCTAAACTCAAATGTTTCTAGTTCTAGGTTTAATGTTAGTTCTAGTGACAGTGCAAGTGTAAAACTAGAACTAACACTATACCTAGAACTAGAATCATTCGGGTTTAGCCGTCTTTACAGACGTGCGGCTAAATCCAAATGATTCTAGTTCTAGGTATAGTGTTAGTTCTACATAGTGACAGTGCTAGTGTAAAACTAGAACTAACACTAGACCTAGAAATAGAAACATTCGACGTCTGAAGACGCACAGCTAAACCCGAAACTTTCTAGTGTTAGTTCTAGTTTTAATTGTTATGCAGCGCTACATTGTTGTATATTTTTATTGAACTAAAAGTAGAACTAACTAGACCAAGAACTAGAATCATTCGGCTTTAGCCGTACGTCTCTTAAGACGGCTAAACCCAAATGTTTCTAGTTCTAGGTCTAATGCTAGTTCTAGTGACAGTGCAAGTGTAAAACTGCCTTCAGCATGTTGTTATTTACACCATTTTAACATTGTGAGACCAACTAACATTCTGACATTCTCCTTTCTAAGATAACTACGTATGCAGGGAAAAACATTTCCATCTACTTCAGCATAAATAAATTAATGCGAGATTGAGAGTTAATTGAGAAAGATGTCTTGCCATTTGAGTCTCTAAGAAGTTCTGGAAGTACTATTTCTTTGACCGAAAGTCTGAACGTCAAATAACCACAAATACTATGAAAAATTTTCGCGGATTAGAAAGTGAGGTTAGGCAATACAGACCAAGACGGTTATAAAAAGAAAGAATACATGATGAAGAATATGACGTCTTTCGACCTTTCAACTTAAGTCTAAAGAAGTCATGTAAAGATTAATCATCTAAAGTCATTATGCCCGACCTCTTTGGTGTCCATCATCACAGACACAATGCAGGTGTGAAACCTCTACTGTTAAATTTTGAAACCAATAACTTAGGGTTTTTCAAACAGATTAATAAAATACTTAATGAACCAGAAAATTTATAGTTATACATTCATGTACACCCTATATAAAAATTCTTTAAAAATCTTATAACAACTATAATAAATTTCTCAAGAATGTAATATCTTTCAAGATTAAACAGAGCATAAAT